TGTGCACCTGAAACTATCACAACATTGTTAATCGGCCACACTCCGATACAAAATAAAAAGTTTTTTTAAAAACCCACATTGCCCTCTTTCCCATCCTGATCCCCTCATTATCTGGTTGGCAGGAATCGAAGAGTAGTGAGTCTCCCAGCTGATGGGTGACTCATCATGTCATTTAAGTTTGTCAGTCAATGGAAACCAGTCTTTCTCCAGGACTATCCCAGGGGAAGCTATTAGGGAGAAGGCAGCCCTGCCAGACGTCTCAGTTCAGCTGGCCTAACTGGCACGTGCAAGGCATCTGCTTATACTCAGGGCCTGGCATGAGCAGAGGGCCCTGGAATGATGCTCTAGAAGGTTTGCTCTCAGTTTTCCTACCACCAGCTACCAAGAAAGCCACTGGGAAACCAACGAGCGCCTTGAAACATAAACAAGCAAAAAGACATTTAACTTTCCCATTCCATTTGGTCAAGTCTGGGTTCACTCTGGGTCTAGTGAGCTGAACTTCATGTTGTGGAAAGTACACCACATTTGGGGACAGAAAACCTGGATTCCTATCCCAACCTGCACTTAGTTATATGAACTTAAATTCTTCAATGGCCTCTCTAATACACAGTTTCTTTATTTGTAAAATGGAAATTTAGAAGAAGTTCTTCTGCTTAAGCCATGGGTAGAATAAAGCATATGAAGGTATTTTGCAACCCATGAAGAAAATATCAGTTGACATAATTTTCACTCTCAAATGTCTGCTTCTAGTTGGACACCCCTCTCTCAAGTTCCAAGCTCACATATCTAACTATCTCTTCCGCAGGACTTCCCAAACAGCTCATAGATATGCTGAGATAATTGCCCAGCCCTTCTGGCAGCCAGGTGGTACGCGGCAGGGCCAGAGACCTTGGCAAGCTGTCCCCAGGTGCAGAAACCTCCCCCAGCTTGCTAAGCACTGCTTTATGTGAAAATTCCAACTAATTATCTATCTGGCTTTTAAACTGATTTTATCAAAAAGCAAATAAATTCTCTTTCTTCAAAAGCTTCCTCCTCCTAGCTCCCCTTTTCTGCCAGTGAGGATAATCCTTATGGGTAAAAAGAGAATGCAGAGACATCATCTTTGACATTTCTCTCCACTTCTACCCTTTCCCATCCTATGAACCATCAATTTTTCTTTTCTTTTTTATGTCTTGGGGTCTCACAGAACCAAGCTTGACTCTTGGCATATGACCATAAACAATTCTCATTACACCGACTGTTGATGTCCACGTCTGTGAAATGAAACAATGGAAGTTGTAGATCTGTCTGTGAGGATTAAATAAGCTTGGGCTTGCCACATGTGGGGCACATGTGAGCTGAATTCTGCCTTCTAGCTAAGTTAGATGTCCCAGAGATATTCACTGTCTCCCAGCCGTTTCTTTTCCTACCTCTATAGTGTTATCCCTCTTCTCCACTTTGCCTGGACTCTTCATGTCCCCGTCCCATTTCTGCCTGTCAAGCTCATGTGTATCCCTCATGGACCATCTTTCAAATACTTCCTCCCTTTGGCATCCAGGAGTGACGCTACTTCCCCTGAACTGTAAATGATTCTTGCATTTTATTTCTATAACTCATGAGGCACTTAACATGACTACTGTGTACTCTGCTTTTGTATATGTCATCTCTTCTTGTAAACGTTTGTGTTTATCTTCCTTATGCATACCATTTACTTAATAAATAGTTTTTAAGTGACTGAAAGAACTCATCAATCAACTGATCAATGATGGATGTCCGGACCTGGTATGAGTAAATGAAAAACAATTTGGAAGTGATGAAATGACTTAAACAAAGAATAAGACACATCCTATTTAGTGTGCTGATTTTTTTTTTAATGAACATCTTATAATCTTACAAAATAACTGGCTGTAGCTGTTTTACATTACAATACAGTAGATCAGCTCCTTTCACTGTGTTCCCAATCAAACCATCCCTTTGGAGTGCTAATCAATGCACTCAATAGTGATCTCACAGAGGAGAGGACGTGCCAAACTCAATGCCTTGTAATGGAGGGAAGAAGAAGAGAGAATCAAGAATAGCTCTTTACTTTCATATACAGGTTTGCCAGCTGACAGTTCTCACTCTGTCCTCTCATCTTTCTGGTTGGAGGCTGTCATACTAATTGCCAGAATCATCCAGCCCTGGGCAACCTGGACCCCAGAGCTCCTAGTCACTAGGAAAAAGAGGAAGCTGAGAAGTGATTTTGGAACAGGGAAATGGAGGGAAGCGCCTCTGGGAGAGGATCTCTGTGATCCCATGAATGGGGAGGAGCAGAAGAATGCAGACCACCATGTGGATTGAGTGTGAGCTGACATCCACTAGGGATCTGTGACTGTGGCATCTCAGACCTTCAACTTTATTGTGACTGGAGAAGCTCAAAACACTAGGCTCCAGGGGAAAAGGCTGGAAGAACCTGCTGTTTCTGAATGGTCAGGGCTGACTCAGGCTGTAGTCTAAAAGGCTTTCCACACCCCCTAGATCCCTCCTCTCACCTTCCTAGGACAGTGATGGAGAGCAGGTGCTGCCAACAGAGACTAAATTTGTTTTAAAATGAAGTACAAAAGAGAAATGTTCTCATGGTTACTCCTGTGGAGAGACTGAGGCCAGACCCACACCATCATGAACCACAGGTTCCACATTCCCATGGTGGGGGTGGGTAGCAATGGGGGCTGTAACCTTCTTGAGCTGGGCAATGCCCAGGATAACTCTCCTGCTACCTCAGCCTCAGACATGGCAGGATTCCCCTGTATGGAGTTTGACATGTTTCAGGACATTTGGATAATGATTTTACAACTGTTTTAAAATGAAGAATTGAAACTTGTCTACTCTCCTTTTCCATACAGAAGCCTATCAGAATCCCAGAAATAAATATTCTCTTCTTGAGAGCATTAAATATGAAGCCAGATAAGGAAGAGTAGGTATCTAGACTATTGTTTCTGTTATGGCTGGGAATACAGAGGACAAGAGGATTTCGGACGGGCAGCCTCTTGCTCTTTACCTTCCCCCATGATTCTGCCACCCTCCTTTTAGATCCCCATAGATAAATCTGTGTATATCCCCTTCTTTTTATTCCATTCCAGAATGTTGTTCTTTTCCTACATGAAGTCTGGCTCAAGATGGAGGGGGAAGATAATAATTCCTTGTTTCTATGTGCACAGCCAAGGCTTCAGTGTTGATGGGAAGAGTAGAAAACTGTGGTTGGAGGCAAAGAGCAGGTGATCCAGAGAGACCAAGGCTGCGTTTGAATATTTGCCTGTTCTTCCTTTCCTGAGATGATAAGCTGGGGTGTTGAAAAAGAAACTAGCTCCTTACTCTCTTTCTCCAAGGCCTACTCCATCCATCATTACCCCCCAAAAAACAGCTGCAATAGACCACATGCAGAAAGAGTCAGCCCAGGCTGTAGACAGAGGCAGGTTAACATGGTCACTTCACACACTGTCCATCTATTGAGCAAGAAAGGATCACAATGACAAAACGGACTCTAAATAGTTGAAATTCTTCTCTCTCCCCACAGAGTGTCACCCTTGCTCCATGTATTTTCAGAACTCACTCAATGGGAGCTCTCTGGGACACAGATTTGACACAAAGCACTTGAATAGATTTTATCTCCCATTCTGCATTGTTCGGAGGATCCCCTGTGGTGTGCTGTGGAGACCTGAAACAAAATTAAGTCTCCTTGACTGATTTTGTCCTCCAGTCCTGGGCTCTAATTGACCCCAGTGTCTACCCTGTGAATGGCCTCTGTCAGCTCCTTGATCCCTGCCTATTCTTCCATCTACTCTCACCTTTCCCTCATGTCATTTTCTTGACATTTTCTCTGCCAGTAAGTCATGTAGCCACATGGCTGTGAATGATGGCCAGGCTCAGGGACTTAGAAGAAGGGAGACCACAGACCAAGTATGTGGAAAGCATGGGTTCCTGTAATCATGGTGACAGGAAAGTGAGCCTGCATACAGACTTGTTGGCTGGCCAAGAGCCACCCTTGGAACAGGCACCTGTGGAAGTGCAAAAACCCTGGGCCTCACCAACTGCAATGACGAGTTCTGAGAAGTGAAGAGAAGTACTTTTTGGATGGATACTCAAGAATCATAGTCTAGTTTTCCTGGACCCCTCACCGATGGATACCCCCACCCACATTTCCATGCCCCTTAGCATTATCATTCCAAGCCCCCATCTCCTCCAACTGGGCCCAGCTCTCAGCTCATAAAAAGATGATTAGCTGACATGTGATCATCAAAAACTCCATCCAATCTCTCTCTTTGCTTCCCCAGTTCTCTCTCAACTTGCTAATCCCTATGAATAGAAAGATGGTAGAAGAACTCAGTCCTCAAACCCTCAGCATTCATTTTGGATGTGAACTTCACAGCAGCATGTGTGGAACAATGGATAATTTTTAGCTTAGTAGACAGCAAAAAATATAATATATATAATATATTTATATCATTATGTTTAAATACTTATAAAGAATTAATAACTAACCTCATTATTACTAAGGGAGACTACACAAAGAAAGGGAGAGAGCCAGTTTCGATTAGATGAGCCCTGAAAGATGGCAATCCATTCAAAATGGGTATTAACAGAGTGTCCCTGGCAACTGCTCTTCTAGTGTTTTGGTATTGTTTTACAAGTTGGGTGGGGCTGAATAGTTGGCAGGGTGCAGAGTAGGGAGCAGGGCAAGAGTTGAGGGTGGGATTGGATAGAATATAAATGGGGGGAGGAGGGCTCTTGTATATCTATCATATTTCTCTTTCCATTTTAAATCAACTGCCTTTTTGAAGAAACGTTTGCCTATGATTCTTCCTTACTTGGGATACTTGATACAATAGTTGGCACCTATAAATGTCCTCTTGCTTTAAGATCCTTCATGTTCTTCTTCCTCCACTTTATGCCCTTTCTTGTTCACTCATCTTTTCTTTCCTTTTGTGGAGGCCCCTCTTTCTTACTGCCTCCAGGGCAGTGGAAGGAGGGGCTTGATCCTACAGTTACTGGTTTTCTTCAGCCTTGGGGTCTCGGCAGGTGCATTCATCCAGATCACAGTCAGCAGCAAATGGAATGACCTAAGGGAAAGCAAAGAGAAGTTGAAATCACCCATTTTTGCACCAAGCTTCACACTTTCAACCAGCCTTCGCTTTTCTCGCTTGGTCCCAGAGGAAGTGTCAGATAGCAGGTCAGTGTTACAGAACTGAAATTAACACTCAGTTCTTTCACTTACACACCATGTCTTCTTAAGCAAGGTAAACCTTGTTTCACTTTCTTTACATATAAAGTGAGAGGACAACAGCATCTACCTCAGAGGGTGTTTGGACGGTTTCAATAAGATGTTGGATATGAAAAACATATTTCTACGTACCTCTAACACCTGTTACTTAGTAACTTCTAATGTTACCACTAACACTTTCACAAAATCCCTGTAAAGTAGGTAAGATGAATGCTAGTGTTTTTTTCTTAGAGGGAAGGTCAAGAGAGGTAGGGTGCCTTAACTCAAGGTCATGACACTACTACCTAGAAAACCAAGACTCTATAACCTAGCTCTATGTTTTCTACTCCCTTGGTGTTCTTGGGGCCATAGGGTCATCGCTGCTATTTTCATAAGCTTGAGGTTTTGCCCTTCTTGAACCCAGAATATACTTAGGTTTGGTGAAACAATGCATCTCTCTACTGATTGTTTGTGGCTAGATTGCCTTCCTGCCATGTGATTATCCCTCCTCCAGGCTAGAGATGGCCCAGCAACATATTCTCTCTTCCTGTTTGCACTGCTACCAACAGATAACCATACATTTTTAGTGTCCATAATTAGCTTCAGAGAGAAGTGGGTGTTTAGGAGACATGATATAAAAGTGACAAAGATTCTGCTCTTTGGGCATGGATGAAACAAAAATAGATCAGGGTATCATTTAATAGTCCAAGTGCACTGAAGAGACAGTGTCGGTGACTAGGCAGAGAATGGGTGGTGGGGTTTGAGGAAATTTCCCAGCATATTTTCACATATGAATTAACAAATTTAAGAGTCAACAAGGGTGAAATGATTTTTCTATCTCTCATGTGTATACTGGCCACAGTCACTGAAATCCATTCAAGGCAAACCTTAGAACTAAGAATGTGAGATGGAGACAAGGAGATAAATGACTGCTTTCTTCTCAAGTGGTTATGCCTTCCTGGGTAGAAAAGGGACCCATGACCAGTTACTTTCTTCAAGTGAGACCAAGAACTAGTTGGTATGATTTCTTACCTGCAATCCAATCTTGATCTCTTTCTCATAGTTTGGGATTTAATGGATTTTAGAGCAAACTCAACAATGACACAATGAGCCCTTGATTTTTCTGCACTGAATAAGTTAATTCATGTCAGCAGTGAGAACAATGCCTAGCACAGAGTGAGTCATCAGTAAATATTATCCCTTGGAAGGAGTATTCGGGTCTGTGTACAGGTAATCATGTAGGTGTGACTTTATTATGGAGATGCATACAAGGAAGAAAACATTATCTCTTGTATATTTCTGATTCATCAAATCAGCCGACTAGCATCAAATATCTTTGGAGTTCTTGGGTTTTCATTCATATTATTCCAAGTTTTCAGCCTACTCTACTTTATATGTTTAGCTTGAGCATATCTTCTAATTTTATAAAGCCCAGAGCAACAGCATAAATGGAGAAAAGAACTACTGCTTAGGATACAGTCTGGGGAATGTTCCAGGGAGCTTGTGATGGTTGCTCAACAAATACCTGCAATATGCTTGCTACACACTTCATAGGATTTTTAATTTAGCTATGAAGATTTAATAATAAATGGAGACATTTAAAGCACTATGTAGGAAGCCCTGCTTTGAAGTAGGAAATGGTAGCACACTCCAGTGTCCTTGCCTGAAAACTCCCATGGACAGAAGAGCCTGGCAGGCTACCATCCATGGGGTTGCAAAGAATCAGATATGACTGAGAGGTTGAGGATGCACAGATACCACTTCATGGGTAACCCTGCCTCCCCAAGGAGTGGAAGCCATTATTCTCTGCTCATAGAGACATTTCCTGGACAATAATAAGCAGGTGTGAATCTCTGAGGAGCAGAAGCACGGTTTTTCTGAATCAGTTGCAGGACTGACAGTGAGAGAAGTAGTGTTTTCTAACAACTTATCCTAAAATTACAGTCCTTCATCCTGTCACTGTAGAGGCTCCCATGTTTGCTCGTTATCATTCTGTCTTCTGGACTGTTGAAGAAAAACCATGATGCACCACGAAGCAGAAGCAGAGCTAGCTGAAGTCCCTGCCTGTTTCTGGGGCTACTACCCTCTCCTCCCACACCCAGGTGCCCTCACTTACCTTCTTGGAGGAGAGTGTAGAAGAGCAGCAGTCTCCCCCATCGTAGTGGCAGTAGGCCCGGTTGTTGATGGTGTCACACCAACCATCTGCTTGGAAAGGCTGGTAAAGAGGTGGCAGGTCAGTGTCTTAAGTACAACTTCACTCTGCTTCACCCTTTTCTCCCACTCACCCCACCTCAAAATAATCCACAGAACTCAAGATACATTATTATGGGAGAACATTCAAAGGGCAGGGTCAAAATGGACCCAACATACTCAAGAAGTTGAAAAGTCTCAAGATAAGACGCTTGGATCTAAGGAATTGACAAATTTCACACCTAGTATCTGTTCCTGGCCTATTCTAGGGTCCAGAATGGTTCACTGAATTTTTTTTATCAACTTTTTCACCTTCTTGTAATAGTAGGTCTTTATATCATATGGGTTACAGAATAGTTTCACATACAAGAAAATTAAAAAAAAAATATTTTCACATGTGTTAACTCTGTTGGTCATCAAGAAAAGCTGTGCATCAGGAAAATTTGGCTTTAAAAGTCCCATTTCATCAGTGAGGAAATGGAGATCGAGATGACAAAAGTCACCCCAGGTCACATAGCTAGGGTCAAGTAGAATTTGGGATTAAAAGTCATGTATCTTGACTTTTTGCTGCTTTTTGAACCATAAAGAAGGCTGAGCGCTGAAGAACTGATGCTTTCAAACTGTGGTGCTGGAGAAGACTCTTGAGTCCCTTGGACAGCAAGGAGATCAAGCCAGTCAATCCTAAAGGAAATCAACCCTGAATAGTCATTGGAAGGACTGATGCTAAAGCTCTAATACTTTGACCACCTGATGCAAAGAGCTGACAAGACCCTGATGCTGGGAAAGACTGAATGCAGGAGGAGAAGGGGATGACAGAGGATGAGATGGTTGGATGGCATCACTGACTCAATGCACATGAGTTTGAGCAAACTCTGGGAGATAGTGATGGACAGGGAAGCCTGACGTGCTCCAGTCCATAGGGTCACAAAGAGTTGGACACAACTGAGTGACTGAACAACAACACAGATTAAGGACCATAACTTCCACCTCTTCTTCTGGTATTCGTACTTAGAGACCCAATTCTGGGTTGCTATATTGACTCGAATGATGTCTGTCCAGAGTGCAATGGTCCTAGGGTTTGGTATACCAGTGCTGGGACACAAGTCATCCCACTTGTGCAGCTACTTCATGCATAGCAGCTAGACACAGGGTTAGAGCAGAGTAAGCCAAACAGTTTCCATCTACTCCTGTTACTGCTACAAGTTAGCAGAAACCAAAATGGGAAAGGGGCCCAGGCCAAACCAGAGTTAATGGAGTGTTTCACCCCCAAAGGGAATGTATGATAAGAACAGCAACCAGCGGTTACAAAATTGCTCAGCAGCCCAATGCATCATTTCTCTAGAACCACTCCTGGAAGGAAACAGTGTCCCCCAGCATCCTGGAAGGCATACCAGCCAACCCAGCCCACCTACTCAATCACATCAGCTGCTCCCCATCCTGAGTGGATACATAATTGTGAAGCTCAGGAAACATCTCCTGATCAAACTCTTGGGGCCACAGACGGTCAGTAGACTCTTGAATCCTGAGGCCACCTTTCAGTTCCCACGTTCAAATCACTTTCTCTTCCCTCACCCTCCTTAAAGGTCAAATAGAATGACTCTTCCCTATTTCACTGTGTTTTGATGAGATAGATCACTAAACTTAAAAAAAAATCCATTAAATAATTTTCAGCAATTGCGTTACATCAGAACAAGTTCATCCAAGTGATTACTTCAATGTTTTGACTTATTCTATGGGGTCCAGAGGTCACTGGAACACCATTCCAGATGTATACCAGTTTGCCAGCCTCTGAGAAGCTGCTACTTGTGGGGGGGAACTCAACAGCTGTCGGACAGCTGCACAGCAATGTCAGCTGAGAGTGGGAAGTGAAAATGAATTCTGTTCTCAACACAGGCCTCCCTGGGATAAAAGACAAAGATTCTGAGATGAGCATTTGTCTTCAACGCTGGAGCCCATTGCTCTGGCTCTGGAGAACTTGGAATAACTATACAATGAGCACTTGAATCTACAATTACAGCCAAATAAGAGGAGTCAAAATGCAACTAGCCACACCCTTAACACCTATAGATGCCCCGGGTTCTCCTGGGAGGACCAAGTTTATCCCACTGAGATTCCCCCAGATTTTTTTTTTCTTTTTCGTGTGTTTGGAGTATATTTTCCTCATCTAACACTGCATCTGTTACTTCTCCTCCAACCTTGACTGACTCACTGGCAAAACTTAATCTGTTCCTTCTTTCTCTTTCATGTAATTGTCTATAAAAATCCAAAGAGCACCCAAAATACTTTCCCCACATTATAAAGGCATGGGCTTCAATATGGAGGATTAAAGGGAGATCTGAAAAAGATCTTCCTTTTCATAAGAACAACTTAGACATTCGAATAGATTAATAAGAGATCCTTTGGAGTCTTTCTTTCCAATCTCTTCCCCAAGGATGGCCTCTCTCATCTCAAGAGCATCAGGGAAGATGTGTTGAAAAGAGCAGAAATGATCTAGGTCTAGGTTCTGCAGATCCCACTGGACAACAATGGCTATAGCCTGGACATGATTTCCAAAAATTGCTTCTTTTATATTCTTAAAGGTCATCTGGGACGAGAAGGGAATTTATTAAAAAAAGGAGCATAAATACAAAGAAAAGGTTGGAAAGACCCAAGTATTTAATTTACTGTATACCTATTAGAATTAATTGTTCCTCCCTTAACCTGCCAAAAAACAACTACTCCACCCTAAACAAACAGAGTCTCCTATGGCAACATGTGCCTGGGAAGCTTGACAGCTTGAGTCCAAAATTACAATGGAAAAAATAGGAAGGGAAAAATGCCTAACTGATCCAAAGTTTTTAAAGTATCTGAAGACTGGATGTAGACTGGGAGACATAAATCACAATAACTGAAAGCTGTCTGATTTGGGACGTCACTGTTCCCCACAGGAAGCTTCCTCAAGGGAGGCTACAGGATCGGTTTCTCTGCACATCGCGTTCGTAGGTGAAATCTTCATTACTCACACATGCACTTCACTTTCCTGTATCATCACGGTGTTCCACACAAGTGAATTTTTCAAATACCTAAAGCTTATTTCTTTAAGAGCCACTTTTAATTTTTATTTTAACCATTTTCACAGAAGGAAAAAAAAACCTTTATAAAATTCCAGTTTCTATGTCTTTTGATAAAGTAGAGAATACAAAGACATTAACTTGAATATTTTTCATTTTTACTCACACGGAAGCTCTTTGCATTGGGATATTTACTTCTTTACTAAATGAACTTCCTTCAACATACACACAACACCACACACACACACACACACACACACACATATCCTCATGGGTCTAGTTTTGTAGAATCAACCTAAAGTAAATACCTAAATCTGAGAGAGAGGCTAAGTTGCTCTTCTTATGATATATGAGTTTGATGATACCTACAGGAAAGCTTTTGTTGCTGTTGGCTGTGTTCCAGTCAGATCAAGTGGCCATATAAATGACTATGCATCAGTGATGCAATATAGAAAGGAAAGGCTGTCAGTCTGTCCTGTCCCTATGACTTGACTTCTCAAGAGTAAAGATAATTTCTTCTTTATATTATATTGTCTGGTGATGTTTTCTGTTTAAATTGCTCTGGGGAGTTAGGTATGGGAATGGTAGCTCTATCTGTTGCCTATGGAATAGTCATTCATTCAATCACTCAACATTATTCCACACCTATTTGTGCCAGGCATTGCTATGGGGATACAGAGAGAAATAAAACAGGGCTCCAGTACTCAAGAAGACTCCCATTAGCGATCACAGCTGCTGCTGCTGCTGCTGCTGCTGAGCTAGCATAGAGATACAGACAGAAGAGAAGTACCTAATTCAGATTTGGGGTGGATGAGAGCAGGGGAAGGATTGTATGAGCTTTCAGGGGCTGGCGCTACTCCATCTAACCCTTGTGAAAAAAGAGCTTAGCGCTGGATGATGCAGAGGGGCCGGAGAAAACTGTGCAAGTGAAAGGCGAGGCTGAAAATAGAGAGGTAGGTGGTCCCAGGTGGCTTCTCACAGAGCCCAGTGTCAGGAAGAGTGCCATAAACTTTGACTGATTGGCTGATAATACCCCTATTCTGTGAATTAGATTAAGAACACTTTTCCTCTACAGCATGCAATGGAACACATGGCCTCACTGATGTTTTAGAAAGGTTAGTTTGGGACTTAAGACCTTCTGCTCTGCTAACCGAAAGATTGAGATCTTAGCCAAAAATGATTATACCCCCAAAGGTAAAGGCTGGGACAGAAGCCTTTGTATTTGTATCTTAAGAGGTGTCTTACAATAGGACAAGATGCTAATCATATTTTTACATGCCTAACACTATTTTCCTTCTCCTACATCATTTCCCATCAAAACTTTCTCGTTTTGTGAATGACAAATCAGACCCACACCCATTTCTCCATATTGATTAGGCTGCATCAGGCCAAAAGAAGCCTTCTTCCAAGGCAGCTGTGGTACCACACCCACTGAAGTCCGTGCAGCAGATGGAAGCTCTCTAATTCTCCAATGAATGGTGATCTCCAGCCTCATTCTTTCAGCCCTTGGATCTGCCCATGTGTCCATGCTGCCTGGGTTTCACTGCAAGGCCTCTCAGAATCTCAGGGGCAAAATCCAAGAGATCTTTGAGTCCCCTCAGGGACTCTTAATGACCACAATACTACTTTCTTTTTCTTTAAAAAGACCACTGATACATAAAATTCTAAGGCTGATAGATCCCTGAAGACTATTTGGTACAAAACTCTCACTTTATAGATGATGAAATGGCCCTTTAATAAGGTGAAATGTCTTGTTTGCAAGGCTAGATATGGCAATCCTGGGAAGAGAGCCCAGATTTCTTTGTTTCTTGATATTCTTTCTACTAAACCATGCTACCACCATTTGATTGTTTCATTAACCTTTTCATTTTGGGGGAATACAAAGTAACTTAAATTCCTTTGGCACCTCTACAAGAAGCGCTTAGTTGTAGTAACATTGATAATGAAGTGAACTCAGCGATCTAATACAGAAACC